TGAAAAATTTTTTTTTTTTTTTTTTTTTTTTTTAATGGTTGGATGGGTTTGGTGAGAGGCATATATGCCATTAAACTCATAGTGTGAATTAAAGTAGCTTTTTTAAAAAAATGGTCAAAATGAATAATGAAAAAGAGTGATCCCGTAGTGGTTGGTCCATGGAAAGACCATTTGTGTGGCTAATAAAAAAATTCTCGCTCTTCACAAGCCATCCAAAGTGGACTCTATAATTAAAAGGGAAATTCATTTACCATATAGTTTAATACATATATATATAAGAAATAAATGACTTTACATTATTTTTTAGTTAGGGTATATTTGAGAAATTTTTAAGAAATATTTTACTTGGCCCAAAAATGATGTTAAAAGTCAACCTCTTCATTCTAAAAATTTGTCTTTTTCTATCATTAATTATTTTTAACTTTTAAATTTTTTTCTCTCAAATTTTCATTTCCCTCTCGTCTCTTCTAACATTTATTATTATTATTATTATTTGAAACTTTTCTTAAATTTTTATTTCCCTCCTTTTTTTTTTCTTTCTCGTGCCATATCTTTTGTTTACCGCTTTTTGTTTCCTCTCATAATGTTGTTTAACACTTTTTATTTTTATTTTTATTACTTTCATGATTGTAAAAATACTTTTGAAAAATAAACATCAATCATAAAACTACTTTTAATCAAATATTTATAATTAAATGCTTTGATAAAAATAATAATTACTTTTGGTTAATTTTTCATCTTAGTTCATAAATCTATTGAATTCATTTGGTTATTTATCATATTGGTACATGAATCATCAACAACAATGTTGTTTTGATTCATGTATGAGAATTAGTATTACTATGCATATATAAATGTTCGTCTAGCATTGTTTTGAATTTTGAGTGTGAAATCATTGTTATTTTGTATTTGGCTAGAGACAATTGGAATGAATTGTATAAGAGAGACGTGTACTATGAGAGTTTAAGAAATACACTTATAAACACTTTGATGATAGTAATTAGCTACCAAACATGAATGTAGAAGAATAAAGTTCGGTTCGAACTCGTAAATATTTGTTTTTTTTTTATTAATTTCTAAAAATTTTATTTGTGGTGATGAAGTATAATAAAAAAGATAATAAGAAATTATATAATTATTTTTTTTTAAAAAGTGTGGCTCATACAGTTGGATTTAATCACAAGAATTTGACGGCGTTTATGAATTGTAAGCGTGAAAATGAAACTTTTCACGCGCGCTCCAAAAAGAAATGAATAATAATAATAATAATAAATCTACGTCGGGAAGAGAAAACGTTGCATGGAATTTCATTTGAAAGCGGTCCATAAATTGGGGTGGCAAAATCGTGATTAATCACAAAGAAAGGTCCAATTCTTTGTAAAAAAAGCATTTCTCTTTACCTATTTAAAGGAGAAATTCTCGCAGTGATCAAAATCTGTTTGGTGTGTCGGTTTTATCAGAGATTCGTAAAAGTAGAGAAGGAAACGAAGGAGATATGGCAGTAGCAGAGGGACGAGTCATCCGCTGCAACACCATTGATTCATGGAACCACCAAATTCAGAAGGGCAATGCCTCTCAGGAACTGGTACAACCATTTCAATTCCTCTTCAACTTTGTGTTCTTGGCATTACCTTGATTTAATCGCCAGTATGTTCATTGATTTCAATGTATCGGTATTACTTGATTTGATCCGCTCATTGCATTCTGCGTTGCGTATTTCAAACTCATCTTGATATGCTCCAGAAAACTTTTCCGTTCTTTCACTTTGCTTTTTTGTGGTGTGGTAGAAAAAGTAGTAATCAAATTGTGAAATGTTTCGAATCTTTCGTGCTTCCTTTTCTTTATTGAACAATCAATACCATTTTTGTCTCCCACTTATTGCTTTCCAAAGCAAAGCAAACCAAACCAATTGGATACATCTGTAGTAGACATTTACTACATTGAGATCATATGCTTATACGAAGCCATTTCCAATCCAGTCCTTTTCTAAATTTCACCACCAATCATTTTCTCACCAGAATAGAAGCAATCTTCATGTAGTTGGAACTACCTATTATTGAGTTTGACATTTTAACTTACTGTACATATCAGATATAGTAGGATTTTGTTCACGAGTGTTAGAATTGATGCAGATAGTGGTGGATTTCACTGCATCATGGTGTGGTCCGTGTCGGTTCATTGCGCCTTTTCTAGACGAGCTTGCTCAGAAATTTCCCAGTGTCACATTTCTCAAGGTTGATGTTGATGATCTGGAGGTACTATAAATCACAATTTATAAATCCTCCTCTGGATTTTCTGTGTGTGTGTGTGTAGCTTTAGTTAAAATGCGTTGAATGGTGCAGTCGGTAGCTAAAGATTGGGGGGTGGAGGCAATGCCTACTTTTATGTTCCTGAAAGAGGGAAGAATTGTGGACAAGGTGGTTGGAGCTAGGAAGGAAGAACTGCAGCAGACTGTATTCAAGCACATGGCTGCTACTTCTTCTGCCTGATATCACCAACGACAATTGGGCTCTGAAGTAGAGATATAAACAACTTCATTATACTATGAAACCGCTTAAATTTTCTATACTTGATTACCAGCTCCTATCCGCTCGCTTTGTTGTTAGAAGAACACGGTATATTCTCCCTTTCGAAGTGGCTTTTATTGTTTGTCTTTTCTTCTTTCTCTTAAGTTGAAAAAACAATGTTATTGTTGCATTAGTATAATTGGGATGTGGGAATCTGATATTGAAAGAACAGGAAGACGATTCTTTAGGAGGAAGATTTGCTTAATGTATGGGTAATTCTGATAGTTAAATTCGATTTGACATTAGAGTCGTGCATTTTGGAATGAAATTATACCCTTCTCCATATCTGGAGGAATCTGAATGTTAGGATCTTATCTTCCAGTACTTTACCCCAAGAAAGGAATTTCATATTCTATCATGAAATAGGGATGTAGAAAAAAAGGGGCATTTAGAGAGCAGAATATCAAGATTTTTCTTTTTCCTTCAAACTGGCCTTGTATTACATGAGGCACTTGTCACACCAGGTCATTACAATATCCTGAATGGGGTTTCATTTTTCCCCAATATAACAAACTGAAATAAATTACCTATCTTTCCCAGAACCCATTTCCAGTTAAAATGCCAGGAATGGGAATTGAGATTCACCTCAGGGCCTAGATTGCAGAACCCCGGGATTTACATACTCTACGACCTATACCTCTAGGAACCCCTACTGCCTTTGGCACCACACACACCCTTAACGAAAAACTCACTCAATATGAAAACCAAATCATCGGATACAAATTGGAAAAGTACTGCTGCTGTAACCCTATCATCCTTTTGCTCACTCTTTTTACTGGTAATTGAACCATGCAACCCTTCATGAGAAGCTAAATCTCCCCTTTCAACCAATCCAATCAACCCTTCCAGTTGGGTTCTGCTGCTGTAGTCATTGGAGCACATATAACTTCGACCGATAATCGCTTCAAAACATTTGGACATGGATCTTGCCCAAAGTTAGTATTGGATATGGTAACAGCACATCTTTGCTTCCCTACACACCTCTGTAGAAAAGGGATGACAATATGAGTGGGGATAAGTAAATACAGTGAAAGAAGAAGAAGAAAAACAAAAATGGATCTTTGTTTTTTGGTACCTTCTCTAGAATATCATATGACATAGGAGCGTGGCAAGTTCCTTGCTGGTAGCTCCCGCAGGTTCCTAATGGAGTTCCAAAGCTTGCAAATTTGATGGAAGTTATGGAATAACCTGTAGAACACCTAAGATGAACTTTGGGTCTATGTAAATCCTCTGACTTTCCGTAGGTTTCGATGTGCCAGTTCTTAAGAGTTGGATGGAATTCAGAGACGTCGGCACAGACACTAGTCACTGATCTCTTCACCAAGCTGATGCCTGTGGGATTCCCTCCGAGTTCCTCAAAGACTACTAACAGATTGTCTTTTGGCTTCAACCAAGCACGAGGCACATGGTACCTGAAAATGAAATATAGTTGGACTATGTAAGAGAAACTCATTCTTCAGTATTGATGAGTTTCCTTAATGTCAAGAAGTTACCATCTTTGTGTCGGCTGGCCACAGCCTTGCTGACACTTCGGAGGTCTAAAGGTTCCAGCATAATTGCATTTATCACAGTTTCCAGCAGCGTATGCAGTCCAGTATCTTCCAATGCTCAGTCCATTAATCCATATCTGACCCTTTCCCATTCCCCGCATGTCTAAAGCCAATGGCTCAGCTCCTTCAGGTGCATCGAAGTTACTCTGCAAGTGAAAATGGTAAGGTTCATACTTTTAAGGGTTATCTCATCTTTGATAGTAAAATCGAGATGAATTCGGGGTCAACAGGTACCTTGTGCCAAGTCAGTGGTTGCGGTGCTTGTGCAGCCAATGATCCTTCAATCCATTCGACTGAAGATATACCATTTGGAGATACGAGATTCAAGGCTTCTCCTTTCAGCCCGACCTATTTTGGAGTTGAGAGTGAGGAAAAAGTTTTTCGGAGATGAAATCATAACACACGAGAAGCTGGGAGTTAAGTGATCAAACCTTGTAGGTCCATTTCGACCACGACAAGTCCCATTTTCCTTGATCAAGTCCATGAAGAGCAACTGGACCTAAGATTCCCGTGTTCCACTTCTCAAAGTGTCCCCCAACATTCTTCAACAACAACAATTCAAAATGTATCATTACCAACAAATAGGGGAAAACCCAAAAGAACATACTAGAAAGCAGTTTTCAATTATGTTTTCAAAACTGCTTTTCGAATTTGTGATTAACTTTTAAAAATTGCTCGAGTTGTATAAGTTCTTCAAGCTTCATCTTGGGGGAGTGATGAAGAGCATCATGCTTTTATGGTTTAGTAAAACAAGCAAAAGGTGAGACCCCTTTATTGAAGTGGACAACTATGAGAAAAACAAAGGAATAAACTCACTGGCAGTCCCACAGCGACGCTCAGGAGTGCAATCGTGTTTCGTCCAGCCCAAAAATTGACTTTGCCAGTGTAAGTGAATCTTCGATTTTCTCTAGTCCCGAAGGCAGAACCTGATAACCAACCCATATTTATTAAAACTTCTTGCTTTCGTGATGGTAAGAGGCATCCAAGAAGAATGAGATAGTACTGTACCTGAAAGCCTCCCATTGATAAAGACATGCACGGCATGCCCACTTGACTGAACAATCAGTGTGGGGAGTTCTCCACCGTGCAGGCAGGATTCTGTTGAGCCAATATCTACACTGAAGGGACAAAAACAGAATATTATGGACTGTTCAATATGCAATTCCTGTTTTAAACATGTAATGACTTTCATCTAAAGAATTCAATTGTAAGCAAGCAAGAGCTGAAGGAAGAAGTGGTCTCACCTAGTAATATACCATAGGTAGTCACTAGTGTCTTTGGTAACATTTATCTGCTCCAATAAACCAGAAGCAGTCATTGTCATGCTATCGTCCTCGGAAGAAACGTCTTCGTTGTAGCTTTCCCATAAGAGCATTGGAGAATTTGTTGGTAGCATTTCCAGTTGTGATGTTTGAACTCCGACCTGGAAAACAGGTCAAAAACAAAATCAAGGTGAGCCGCGAAACCAGAGCCTACTGAAGTCTAAACTAAAATGCAAGGAAATGTTTCCAAACCTTGGCCGTATTGAAAACTACATTTCTGCAATCAGGAAGAACACTGATGGACCATGGAGGTAAATTATAGTGCATGTTATTGAACATCACTCTTGCAGCTGAATTTGTGTCATAATTTGAAAGAAAAGCTGCACAGCCTCCTGATTCTGATGTGTAGACATAAGCCTGGCGATATTGAAGGTCGAGCCTTATTAACTTTGGTTAAGCTTAAATGGTGAGAGATCAGAATTATGGACTGTTGAGTAAAAGTACCTGTTGAGAGCTCCCTAATGAAGTCACAATTGGATCTGCTGAAACTAAAGCTTTCTCGCACATCTTCACCGCCCTATGAAGCTCCTTCAAATGACCATACTTTGGTTGCCTGATCAAGCCTGTCATAGTTTTATAACAAAGAAACCAATGTAAACATTTTCAGCCATCAACGACATTGGAACTTAATCGTAGCGTTTTTTTGTATATTTCCGAACTTTCTTTAAACAGCTATGTTAATCCACAGGGGCTAACATGTGAAAAAAACACAGTGGCTTTCTTCTGACATGAGCTTGTTCCTTTAAGTTTCTCAATTCTCACCATATTCATCTATCGGAGCATCGTAGTCATAGCTGGTAGTGATGAAAGGTCCTCCGGCTGTACGTCCAAAGTTCGTCCCACCATGGTACTGTCACAGGAAGGGATGAGAATCTTATAAGACAACAGTTCAGAACAAAGTAATGCTTGTGTCACAGAAAACCAACCATGTAATAGTTAATAAACGACCCTCCTTTCTGAACGAACCGAGCAACAGCGAACGCCAAATCCTGAACCGGTCTATGGTGAATTGGACCCCCAAACTCATTAAACCTACAGGATTGTCAAGGCAAATCAGAGAAATGAGAACCTTTCAGACGATCAAAAGGTGGATGACGAAAATGAGACGAGAGGAGGGCTGTTACACACCAGCCACTCCAAGCCTCTGTCCACATTGAAGGCTTGTAGGGTCTATTAGGAGAGAATGCATCGCAGTAAAAGCCATTGCATGTATTAATCTGTGACAGACAAAACCAGAGTTTCTCAGATAAGCCTTTGTTAAGAGAAGAGAAGGCCTAAGCACTCCACAATAGATAAGAGAAGGGCTAACCACTGGATCTGGGGCATCCTCTTCCTTGCACATCAACCATGGGACACCAGTTCCCAGACCTACAGCCATCTTTGCCGCCCATGTCATATAATTTTTCCCAGAAGCCCCAAATAGCTTGCTCTGTACTCCGTATTCATTCTCAATCTACAAGATCAATTATTCGCTCGAATTAGAGCTGCATTTCTACAACGTTTAGTGTCCATTAGATAATCTTAGATATTAGTACCTGAGAGAGAATGATGGGGCCACCTTGGGACTCAAACAAGTTTTCACTTTTCATCATCCCCACAATTTTTTCTGTAAATCCCTGCATTGCTCTCTGAAATAGCAAGAGAAAACCAAACAAAACAGCCCCATGGATATCAAAAGTACTTTAGCTAAAGCACAGAGAGATTAAAAAGGCATGCATATGAACATACCTTGAAGGGTTCATTATCTGTTCTGAAGCTAATGCCTGGGACATACTTCAGCCAAACAGGAAAGCCTCTGCAGGAAACGTTTGAAGTTCAGAAACTATTAATTTTAACTGTGGAGAGACAAAAAGAGATATGGAGATGATAAGGAGGAGGTACCCGAAGTTCCACTCTGCACAAACATAAGGTCCAATGCGTAGGTTTGCGTAGAGTCCAGCTTTGTGAATGGTTTTTATGAACCTCACCAGATCATATCTCCCTTCAAAATTGTACTGAAAGCATAGAGGACGAGCAAAATGAGAAGGAAAAGTAAATAATTCTTGAAGAGAAGTTCAAAATGAAACTAAGAAATGAAGTTTAGGTGGAGAAGTTACAGTACATTGCCAGGGGAAGGCTCATGGACATTCCAGAACACATAGGTTTCAACAACATCAAGACCACCTTCTTTGGCTTTCTGAATCAGATCTTCCCACATCTACAAACATTTCAGTTCTCCAAAAATCAGAAACATTCCCACCATAAAGCAAAAAGGGAAGAGAAATGGGTACCTCAGGAGTGCTTCTTGGGTAATGTATGGAGCCAGAGAAGAGGACTCTCCTCTGCCCATTGATCAAGATGGCCTTTCTATCATATGTCACACTACATTGAACAAGCTGAACACCCAGAAGCCAAAATAGCCCCAAAACCAACATTGAGAGCTTGGAAACCGAGTTGGTTGCCATTCTGAGCAAAAAAAAAGACCCAAAACTTTCTTGGGGATGAAGGGAAAGTTGAAATGCACAGAGATCTAAAACCCACCAAGAACAAGAGAGGCTTTTATTTCTTGTCTATTCCAAGCATTAGCTACCACATAGCTCATTCCCAGTTAGAACACGGCACTCAGATCCGAGCCTCCGATGACTGCGAATTAATGGAACCCATATGCGTGGCTTTATATACAGCCTCCACCCACCGACAGTCACAAGTGTCGAAAGCCACCACAGTTCACTAACCACCGTAGATGCGAACTACACAACACAAAAAGTGAATTACTGAAAGATGCCGTAACTATAATGACCTCCCAAAACTGGGAGTATGAAAATAAACAGCAATAAATGAACGTCTTTCATTACGTCATTAAGTTAATATGTCCTTAAGAATGTTTTTTTAACAGAATTTCTGTGATGAACAAATGTCTTAATATTTTATTAAAGTTCTTACATTTAAGTTCATTAGAAGTAAGAAGAGAGCAGGGATTTTGACTGGAGAATGATATGAAGAGCATTGTTTGTGGCCCATTTTCGTAAGGAAACGGAAAGATAAACGACATGCCGTGATGTCTCCATATGCCACTGTTGTCTGGGTATCTGTGTAGAGCATGTCCCACCTCTACCAAACACCATGTGACCCCCAAGCTTTTCCTGGGTTTTAATGGCTCATGTGAAATCCAAAGGAAAACCAAAGTCCCCTTTGATTCCTACCCAGTTTTATGAATCAAATTTGTTACAATTTTTGATCTTTCATGAACTTCAATTATTTCTCCAATGTAATGCGATCTTGCTGCTTGTCCAGTCCCCCATGCCTTCCATTCTCGAATCTTTCTGTCTGGTACTGAACTGTCTTGGACCCATTAAGAATTAACAAGATGGGGCGAAGTTGTTCTTGATGGGAGCTTAATTTGGGATTAAATTATGATGGGTCCTGACGGATCTAAGTGACCCATGTGTCGCGGCGGTGGCGGAGTTGGCAAAAAGAACTAGGAGGCAGCGTTATTCAATTTCCTTTAAGTTTGTTCCTTCATTAATTTTTTTTTTGTTGTGTGTGTGTTTCTTTAAGCTGTCCTTCAATGGCGGAATAAGGAGATGGGAACCGTAATACACCGCCGCTTTATGGTCCCACGCCGCCTAATTGGAGGGCAATGGTCCGCCACTTGTCCCCGCAGATATCGGCCCTTTTTTAAAAGGTATATTGTTCCTTCGCTATTTACGACTAGAATTAAAAAAAAAATAAAAAAAAAATCATAAAGAAATTATTTATAAAGTCTACCAAATAAATTTACAAACATTTTAAATTTGTGTTTAATATAAGATCTTTCATTATTATTTTTTTATTATTTATTTTTTACATTTAAAAAGTCACAAATAAATTGACGTAGAATTGAAATATTTCGTGGTATTCTTTTTGACATGTTAGCCTGAAAAGTGACGGTGTTAACAGGAGAGATCTCGATGTATTCTTTTTGATCTGTAGGTCAGCTCAAGGTTTGAATTATCGGTTTGAACTTTAGCCTAGCTTCATAATTCTCGAGATTCGGGCTTGGTTTTAATGTATGAATGACCTATAAAGAAATAACAAAAATGTAGAGAAACAGTTGTAAGTAATGGTTTGGCACTAATTGGCGAGCACTCATGGGATGCTGGAGTGCAATCTGAGATATAATTGGAGATTATTATTGTATTAATTACTCTAAGCCTAAGCTCAGACCATATTATTAAAGAAATAAGAATACCATATCTTAAAAGAATGATTAAGAAGCACATGATGATAGCAAATCAATGAAATTAAAAAAGAAAAGAAAAGGGTTCTGAGTTCTGAATCGAATCGAATCCAATATGCACTTTTTTTAAGAGGCGCGCCGCGCGGTGCTGTTGATTTCAACGAGTGTTGCCATGGCCTTGCCCTTGGCGCGCGCTCTCCTTGCCCTCGGCCTTGCCCTTGGCGCGCGCTCTCCTTTGCCGCGTCGCCCCTTCCCTCCCTTTTTCTGTTCGGGCTGGGCTGGAATTATTGTTCATTATAATATTCTCTCTTGGATTATTAAGTTGTTAAAATTGCAAAAGAAACATATTTTAAGGATTCGTTAACCGCTCCAAAAGATCTGCCAAACAGGCAATCCAATTATCTTTTGAAATTTTTTAGCGGTGCTAATCAATTGAACTTGAAAGTGAATGAGATTTTGATTTAGGGACAAAGATGGAGAGTGCTTCATCTAATTCAGTGGTTAATTATTTTATATAGTAATCAGATATAACAATGTAGTTTGGATCAGAGACACCATGATGTAGCATTTACATGTGAATGGACAACATTTGCTTACACATAAATAAATACAACCAATCTCATGCCACTGTCTCTCATTTTTTCTTCACTTTAATGGACTGCACTCTTCAAATAATTGCTATTTTTTTAATATGTATCTTGAAAGCTTATGTAAGAATAAATCTGAAAGAGAAGCAATGAGTATGTAAGAATAGATGTGATTGGTATGAATCATCGGAACATAAAAATCCGAACTTGCAAAGAAAATGGAAGTGGGGTTCTTGGAAATTCTTCAGCGCAGCCATTGATTACGGTTTGAGTGTCGGGAAACTTTAGGTTTTGGAAGTAAAGCGTGAAATGAATGGAACAAAACGAGGAGAAGAGGTCGAGAAGAGGAAGAGTTCGGTGTTGTGAGTTATGAGAAAAATGGAACTGTTTGAACAGATGAAGTTAGTGGGGAGGGGACTGCTGAAGAAGAAGGAGAAGAGGGTAAGGGGAATGATGGATGAGAGGCACATGGGTTGGGCCACAATGGGTCTGCAGTTCACCATTTGTAGATTGAACGCTGACCCACCTTGGAAATGGCACGTGAACCGAGCCCACTGGGCTGATCGGGGGGCGCCGGAAATGTCAGCCCCTCAGCCTCTTCCCCTGTCTTTCTGTCACACAGACGTCGGTTTTATAAAGAAATGAACATAATTATAGTACTAACATGGACAACTGATGCTGTAAGAATTTCTAAATCTCACCCAAAAAGATATTGGACCACCCAGTCCTTTTCGTCTCACTTTTTAGTTAGCAAAATGACTATATCATTAACATATCAATGTAGAATCCAATGTTCACATGCATTTGAAACTCCAAGGACCAATCCTTTTTGTGTAATAGACATTTATTGGATTCCTTTTTATGGAAAGAACTTTAATCTTTCGATCAAGTGATTGAGAACGGGGGGGCCAACATAAAGAAAGAGGAAATGGGAAAGGTTTGAGCTAATACTAACGATGTTCTTTCTTTGGGGGTGGTTCTGAATCTCCATCAAGCCCCAATTCCTACACCATTTTTTCACGTAGTTGGAGAGGAAAGTAAGGAAAAGCTAGTGCTGAAGTGTTCTGAAATTAGACATTCATTTTCCAACAAAGTACAAAGGGTGTCATAATATGAACTCAATGTGTCTAAAATTGCTTAAAAATGAAGCTTGTTCATTTCATTCGGAGAATATGAATTGGGATCTTTTGGCACCAGGGCAGGAATTAAAAAAATAATAAGAAGAAAACTAGAGTTCCCAACAAAAATTTTCAGTAGGTGATAAAGATATCGGATAAGAATCAGCAGGAACGGAAAAATATGTGCAATGAGATGTATTCAAGAGCCTCATATCTGACCTTGAAGTTGTTCTATCGGACGGCGACCATTTATTCGAGAGCTCAGCAAGTCTTGAAGGAAATTCTTTCATCCTTAAACCGTCTCCTCGGTAGTGATTTAGTTAAGAAATGCTGTGTGTTTTACCTGCTGTAATTTCAAAAGCAGAGAGATTTTCATTACCACAAACAAAGAGGAAAGTGATTGGTTGAATAATGAACCGTTGGTAAATAAAAAAACGGCAAAAGAACAGGGAAGTTTTTGAAGTAAAAAATCCACCTTTTTGCAATGAAGAAACAGCAATATATCCGCGAGTTTCATTCCTTTTGTGTCGTCAGTTTGAGCAGTTTTAAGACGTTTTCATACACAACAAATGTGATTGAAGCCGCAGGGACATTCTTTAGAAGGTTTGGTGTAATTCCCCTGTAAAATCCACGAATACCCTCAAACCTGCAAGGTATATAACACATGTCAAAGAGAAAAGTTTTATCACTATGCTGTAGTTTATGGAGTTAGAACTGAACGAAACTCCAACTTCACTTCACAGTGGTTCCATTAGCAAAATTCAAAGAATAGGAGCACAATTGTTCTTCCGGTGGTGTAACGTTATCGGGACAGGTTAATTGTTACCGTGCAGTTTCCTTAAGAACATGGAAACTATCCATGTATCTAGGTGTACCATCATTGCCTGGTCTTTGCTGCAAGCAAACAGAAAATCCATGTAATTCTAAAAAATTAAAAAATTAGAAAATGGAACTAGAAAGATTATATCTATTGGCATACCTGCAATCGAGCTCGAATAACCTGAAAACCAAGTCACTCAAGAATAAGCTAAGATAAACGACTATGAAATTAAAAACCAAGCCATAGTTCACACCATCAAAACAAATTTATATTTACTTGAAATGGATATGTCAGAAGCATGGCAGCAATTTTAGAAGATCCTCCAAGGACAGCATAATCAACCGAATTCTGCGTGAGAAAAACAATGCACAGTGTAAGAGTTTCCATTTCATGTGGTGAGGACATAATGGAGTAACGGTTTTATATTGTCATGTGAATGTTGCTAATAATTTATAATCACTACACAAAATATCCCCAAGCAAAGGTGAATAGGAGAGGTTAAAATATATCTCGAATAAACATCCGAAAATGTCATGAACTATACACTAGATCAAATAAATATTTCTACTTCTCCCAGAACACGCTATAATGTTGTCTAAGTAAACTTAAGCCAAAAACTTGTACCAGTAATTCCCCAGAACTTTGAGCATCCACTCTGGTTCCTTTATACCTCGAGTTGGCAATAACTTTACGGAGTTCTTCGTAAACTGTAAATTGAATGGCACCATGAGAAACCTGCTGTAGCAACCATACACATCTATGAATTCATTCCATGAAATTATGTAAACAGAATGTCTTTTTATGTCAAACGTAAAAAGCTCTCTCCCACTCAATAATGAATCCTCAACAAACATTTTATAGAAAATGTTATTAACGGAACCAAATTACCGAAGCAAAAAAATTAAACTGTGAAAATTAAGCTAAAACCTAATTGCTTACCAGCATGAGGCCAGGAACAATCCCTTTATAAAGAGCAGCAAAACCTTCCTCCCTCAAAATGGTTCTGAAGGCATCTGCAATTAAACACGATGGGTGTGCACAGAATCAAATAAAAGTGAAGCAATAAGCAAAGCAATGAAACATCAATAGGAGGGGGAACTACTGTTGTTGCTGATGTAAGAACAGAACGAAGAGAGGCACTATAAGACTTAGCTTCAAGCCTATAACTATTCCAGATTAAAAATGGACCAACAGTGCGTCCCTAAAAAGAGATACCTACTCACACTCCACAACCTTTCTCCTAGTGCATTGACTGAAAAAGTTGTGCTGATGATCAGATCATTTCGATCACTATACGTTTTTGGCAACTAGTTAAAAGGCTGATCTGTATTACTTTTAACTTCCATTATTATGCTCCTTCAAGAATCAATGGACTTCCTTCCAATTAGTCATAGGTTAAAGCTTCAAGTGAAAAGGTTAGAATTTTGAACATTACTTGCTGTTACCAGCTTCAGGAAAATTTTACGTGGATAAAATGATGGGATTTTCGTAGATGTTTGAAAGACATATAGGAAATCAACAAATGTATTCTTCAAGGTTCCTAGATGGAGTACTCTACTTGAGGATTTTTGTGATGTTTCTTCCTCTGATCAAAACTAATTAGAGAATTTTGTTGTAAAATCCTGTGTTATGAGTGGGATGGGACTTCATGTTGTTCCCCTCCTTGACAAGTCTAAAAATCAAGGTAAACAAGATATGACAAAACAACTATGCTACAATTTCAAAGTCGATATCATCCCATCATTATCATTATAAACCATTAAACCTTATCATAACACGGTGGTGTGAGAGAGAGAGAGGGAAAAGAATGAAATAATGAAGTTTAACTTAATTACAAATCATAAGATCTTATAACTAAGGTATATCCCAAAGAGCATATTATTTTTAATTGAATGCAAGATAGGGGACAGACCATATAGCCCAGAATAAGGTTGAGCTTGATGAAGAGGATTCTGAAGCTGCATTCTTGTTTTCACAAGCCAAACTGGATTTGTGCAAAAACAAACCTGACGAGGCAGTAGAACCACAGTTGTGAAAATAATAAAAACTATAAAATCTAAAATAATAAGATGAGAGAAATATTGTTCTAGTTAGTCAAAGAGTGCAGTATGGGAATCGTTTGACGTTCACAAGCATAAAAAATCCAAGGACGTGCTGCAGGACTTCATATGCTTGATAAAAAGAAAATGGCAATGAGCCAACCAAAAAGAAAAAAAGAAAGAAAATAACTAATGAGCCAACCAAAAAGAAAAAAAGAAAGAAAATAACTAAACTCACCAAAGCTCCTGCCTCTGCTGCAGAAGCAAGATGAAGACTAGGAGTCAAGTTCTTCTTTCCATAGTCAGAATATCTTTGTTTGGCTCTGCCATAGCTACAGTACAATGGGGAAAACAATTAATACAGTTCCAAAGACCAGATGAAATGTTCGGCCAACAAAGCAAAAATTATCAAGTCAGTCAAATGTTGGGATTTTCAGTAAGTTCTTAAAAGGGATCCATCCCTTTGCTCATGATATTATCTCAACTAATGGAAGATGCAATTAAAGGTGCTTTATAGGAGTAATTTTTGGATTTCAATGATAAATCGATTGGTAGTGTTGCAACAAATCAAAATTCAAAAGGAAACTAGATAGCTAAGTTTCAAGCCATATAGGTTTTTTTTTATCCTTCTTCAAATTTCAATAATTTTCCCTATTATTTCGTTGCACTCACATGACCAAACATTTTATACTGCTGACATTTAAAAGAGAAAAACAGAAGAACTCATATAGAAGCCTGAATCAATGTTCAAGTGATTAATGTCAGGGTGCTCACTACGTGTTGTCTGAGTATATATGTCTTTATGCTTCATAGTTTAAAGGAAACATTACGCATCCACTTACAAGAAGAAATATAAACCCCAAGAAACAGTTGATCCGAGAACTGCAGGATAGAAGCCCGCATATAGCCCTCTCAAGCCCTGAAATAAAGGAAGCATCACAATCTATTTGGGATGAAGGACAAAAACCAAACGTACAATGTGATATAGAAATTTCAGGCAAAACAAGTCCATAGCAAGCGTTTAAGTAGCAAGAAAGTTTGGAATATTGAAGCAGAGATTAATTTGGAAGGTCAAGTGTAAGAAGTGTTGAGAATGATACAAAATCACACAGAACCAGCTGCTGATATTTGAAGTATAAGCGATGCTCAATTTTCCAGTGGCAAGCAACACATCATAAGAACATTACGTCAGAGAGCTAAAGAACTCAGCTTGTGGTAGTAAATTGCCTCATGACAACCACTTTGTTTCACTAGTTGGCAAAGTCATAAGGACAAGAGAGTTCTTCATCAGATGTATGTTGGCAGGAGGTACAATTCCTTTGTTCTTTGAAAAGGGAAAATATTACTTCATTTTAATGCAGTAATTCAGGCCAACAAACGAAATTGAATCTCTAATTCTCCATAGCATTAATTTGCAATCTTGACTACTTTGGCCCGTCAATGATAATGAATCATACCCCGCCGGCCCAAAAAATAAAAAACTCTTCATTCTTAAGAGCGAGCACTTCATAGAAAATCAAAAAGAGGCAGCTGAATACAATCGTGCTATTTATACATCTCCAAAGTAATGCTTGGAAATCGATCTGCGGTTTGTGTTTTGGAATTAGGATGTAAATCTATGTCAAATGGCAGAATAATTGGGTCTATCCCAGGAAGATTTCAACCAGAAAGAGTAAGTGGCGAGCATCATTTTAACAAAACTTCTTAAAGCTGATGCAAACAAATTTCATGGCATTTGCACAATTATTGCCATTTATTCAAGTGGACAACCAAATTAATATACCCCAGACCAAAAATTCGAGGGAAAAAGCATTAGAAAAGCCAGCAAATAATCAGAATTAAGAGTTGCAAACACAGAATTTACCAACCTCCATCCGAGCAATGGTGAGGATTGCATTAACCGTGTTCTTGTAAGTCGGGAGATTCGATCCTCTGCCATCATAAACTGCCATTTCGGAGACAATTGGAGCAAAAACGAAAGTTAAAGGAAATAAAAATTGGAACTCCAGATCGTTTGTTGACACACGCAAGCTAACTTTGAGCGGTCATATAAGTAAGCTACCTTGAAACCGGGTGCGGACGACATCTAGAGGATGCACGGAGGCGACAGTGGCAAATCCGGCAACGGCGCCGGCGGTGGCATTCTCCCACTGCCACATATCCGGCTGCGACTTCGATTATTGACCCAAAACGTAGTCTTGCTTCTTTAGTTCATCGACAAGGACATAACTTGAGTCAGATGACTCGAAGCATAAAATTTCGGCGGCGTCTCGGCGGGAAGTTTAGACGGCGCTTATCGATAGGTAAATTCACGTCGGAGACCGACGTTAAAGATTAAAAGGTTAAATTTGGAAAAAACGAACTAGTTTAGGAAAATAAGGATAAAAAATATTGATTCTTTCGTAGAGCCTCCATATCTTATCAATAATTAAAATAAAAAAAATGTAATTTTTACCATTTTTTAAATCTTAAGACACTGTAATCTGATGATTTATGTACTAAAATATTCACCGGAGATTTTACATTTTCGAGGTTGAGTCGAGTCATACTTTTCACAAGTATTTTTTGAAGGGATATCGTGAGCATGAATTTACAAAATTGTCTTTTAGCATCTTTTTTATTTATTTTAAACTATAAAGTTATTATCTTTTTAGTAACAGCTCCGACCGGTATGTTTATGAAAAGTTGAGTCGTTACATGGTCTATTCTATCTCTATTTTACTTGCTTTTGACGCTACTTTATGCCAATTTAAACTTATGAGTTCGTCAGGAACAGGTTTCAATTACTCTTTTATGTCATATCATTGTGGAGGCATGAGAAACCACTGAATGAAAGCAGTTTGAATCTATTTATAGTTGCTCGTAATATGGAGAACCTAGCACACAAAACAAAACAAGGAAATGAACAAAAGGATTTGCATTAAAAGTGGAAAATGAAGCAGGTGATTTGTTCTTCCGACAAGACTGATCTTCAATGAGTGGTGTTCTAAGTTATTTGGAACCTACGAATACAAAAGCCAAGTACCAAGAAACATCTATCAACAAATATAATTTCGGGTCGAGGCAAGAATATGGAAAGTTCTAATAAAGAATGCTCTTTATATTTTTGAACCAAACCAAATAAATCCATGCCCTCATCCATCCAAACGAACTTCAAGACACATTGCTATATCCTCAACTGTTGCTCTGACTTGAAAAGTGTGATAAAAGCTTTGCATTTTCTGCAGCATTCTGTTGGTAAAAGAACCGAATGGAATTACAAATAAGTAATCCCAAGTACGGATACAATGATTTGACTTGCACGCGTTATAGCAGCAATGGTGATGAATAAATAACAGATGTTCGCAGAAGAAGTAGCCAAAGCCATAATCATAAGAAACAAAGCATGCAGAATAATAGATAGAATAGACCACTGCAGCTTAAACGTGTGTTGTGCTAACATGCTTCAGTGATATCGATAAACATGACTAATTGGCGTTAGACACTCTTTAGTCTCAAAGTCATCGGATGAAGACTTCTGCTTTAGGTGATTTGGGAGCTCTCTCTAAAAGTCAACTTTCTGCCAATGAACAGTCCTGGTCTAATGACAATATATGAAACTTTGAAGTAAAAAAAACTGACCATAACATTGCCTCATGTTTCAACAATGTTAAATAAGGTTTTTATCGACTTTACTAACGTTTATAGGAATAAGAATATTTCTATGATCTCCCAATCAATTTTGATAGTCCAAAGATGAGGTAACTAGAAGATGGATGGATAAATGAGAATTTGTATGAGCTTATTTATCTCAACTAGTAATGATTCTGCTCAGAAAATTTCAACACCCTATTGTACCAGATATGCATAAGCCATAAAGCTTCAATAAGAAGATGAAATGAATCAAACAAGATGTCAACAAAGTATAGCATTCAAAGGTTCGTCATCTGCTATAACTATCAACTCTTATGTTTATTTTTCTTGGTGCTTCCTAAAAGCCCACGCACTCAGGTCATTGGGTAGCTCCCAAGTTTAAGTGTAGTTATGTTACACTTACTGTGTTTGGGCCGCTTTAGCCCACCGCTATCTACGTTATCTCGTTATGTATCATCACCAGCCTTACGATTTTAAAGCGTGTCTATTGGGGAGATGTTTCCACACCCTAACATAGAATGCTTTGTTCTCCTCTCCAACCGATGTGGAATCTCACAATTCACTCCTCTTAGGGGCAGCTGACACACCACCTAGTGTCTAGCTCTGAATCATTTGTAACGGCTCAAGCCCACAGCTAGCAGATATTGTCTACTTTAGTTCGTTACGTATCGTCGTCAATCTCACAGTTTTAAAACACATCTACTAGGGAGATATTTCCACACCCTTACAAGGAATGTTTCATTTTCCTCTCCAATCAATGTGGAATGTCGCACTTACATAATTGGATAAATCTTCTCCCTTCCAAACTGTACACCCTTTCTTATCTCAACTCAAAGTCCTAGAATTTCTCCAGAAAGAGAGAAAACAGAGCAGATACTCAGGTCACTTGGCAGCTCCGGGCTAGTTTATAGAACTGGATAATCTCTTCCTTGACTACACACTTATGTGTCTCCAAATCCAACTCAATCAAGGACCCCTCCCTCAAGTTAGGCAAATGCACTACATTCTATAGAAATCATCATCATACTTATAACACTCGAGACAAGTTTAGGAGCTCCGGAGTAAGGATCAACTTCTTCTGCTAAGGATCACAAATAGGAACGTAGATTAAAGATCATCAAGATTGGTCTCCATGAGGCCAACCCCAAAACATACCCAATTATTTAGAGAAACTCCCGATAACGTCTTGCTAAATGCGCAAAAACTAAGATAGGTAATGTGGTCCATATTATGATATGCGGAAGATTGTTGGGAGAGGAATTCCAAATCGACTAATTAAGGGGTTGATCATAAGTTTTCAAGTAAGGAATACATCTCCATCTCCATTGCTATAGAGCCTTTTGATACGATATTGTCTCTAAATCATGAGAATTTATGCTCGAGGTGTACAACGTCTAGGTTAAAACCTGAGACTCGTTCTAATATACAAAAGGAAGGAGACAGTAGTACCTCACTCCACTGAGACTTTGGCGCCAACCTCCTTCATCTTGGCAATAATCGTATCAGCTTCCTCCTTTGTCACTCCCTTCTTCAGGAGCATAGGCGCTTTCTCCACCAAATCTTTAGCCTCCTTCAACCCCAAATTCGTAAACGTTCGTACTTCCTTAATCACCTTTATCTTCGACGCAGCATCAAACGCTTCAAGCTTCACATCGAACGCTGTCTTCTCCGTCTTTTTCTCCTCACCGCCTTTCGCTCCAAGACCACCCTTACCAACACCTTGCAAGCCACCAAATCCCATCCCAGGCATCATCACCGCCATTACCGGCATATCCTTTACATCCAATTTGCCTCGTAGCACCTCCGTGAGGTCCGCAACATCGAGTAGCGTGAGACCGGAGATCTCATCCACAATGCCCGAAACTCTCTCCGAATGGGCTGGTCTTGATTCCAGTGAAGCAGTTGTGAAATTCCGATGATTCAGCGATGATGAAGACGCAAAACTCCCCGATCCAAGAAAATTTAAATATCGAATGGACGGAGAATCAGAGCAAGGGTATTGAATGAAGGTTCTCCGAATCCTCGAGAACTGAGGAGAAAAAATTCGCAGATTTCTCATCTTCAAATTATTCGGTAAATCGTGAATGTTCAGTCAGAAAGTACAGTGAGACAATGAGAGCTCTGTGCGTCCATGGTTAATGAGTTTGGAGGTGGAATGTAGATCGCCTGCCGTCGTTCAGATTCCGGGGAGAAGCATAAACCCTACCGTTGAGATTCAAGCAAGCATGCAGTTAATTCGCCGGTGGGCTTTTTAGTTGGGCTTCGGAATCAACGGTCCATTTCATTTCACAATATTTTTATGAACACCTCTCGAAAATCTTAACATAATTTATATATTTTTTTTTCTGATTATAATAATTTATATTTATAAATATAAGAACATACATAGGGACCAATGGAAGTCGACAAACACAAACAGCTTCAAAATCAAAACATCGTAGAAATTAAAGGGAAAAAAAACCATATCAAATCAGACACGAAGCTTCAAATAACAACAAAACCCAGAAATATTTTCACCCTTCATCAGTCTGCTGCGCATTGGAATAACTTATTTCATTCTGGAAAACTACGAAACCCAACAAAATTTAACTGTTGATCTTCCTGCAAGTCTTTCTGATCTCTCCATTTGAGCCCGTCAATGGGGAAATATTGCCCATTTTGATCATGGATTTGGCGAACTGCTCGAAGAACACCTCGCTGTTGTCGGCATATTTCTTTACCAAAGCAGCCGACGCGTCGTTTCCGGTGAGGAGAACTTGGTCGGAGTTGAGAAGCCCTTTGAAACCAACAATGTTCTTGAAGTAGCTGTTGTCGAATTTGGTCGGGCTGACGAAGTCGAGGAAAAAGAGGTTATTGTCGCCGCCGGATCTCGGGCAGCGGTTTCGAAGCTCGGCCGCGTACGGCTGGGGAAGGGTTTTGTCGGGCTGTCCATTGCCGTTCTGGTTGTATAGCCTCTGCCGGAAGCTGGTGCACCTTGAATTCCCGATGGTGTGACCTCCTGTGTAAAACAGGATGAATATGAACTTAAAAATAGAAAGTTTTGAGAGTTTTATTTGATTTACAATCTCTCAAACAAGTATTCAATGTTCAATTTACCAGATAAGGCGACAAGATCAACGATATCAAGGCCCTGGTTTTGGAATCTGTTGAGAATGGTTTGGAAAGTGTTGTTGGGAGCTGGAATGTTGTTGTTGGAGCCACTCAAGCTCGCAGTTCTCGAGTCTTTCCTTCCCAATGGAACCTCCCAAAAGGGTCCACCCGTCTGTCAATAAAGTTCAATATACATATGAAAAATGATTTGACCATTGAAGAACATAAAGATTTGCAGAGACAGAGCATACAATGACAGTGGAATCTCTTGCAGCCAAAGCCAAGATATCAGCACAAGAAACAGTTTGTGGGCACTCTTTCTCCAATGCAGATTTGATCTCATCAATCACCTCAAACCCTCTAGCCGAGTTCCTATTTGGGTTTGAATTCTTCTCGCTTCTAATGCTCCCACTGCTGTCCAGTAGTAAAGATGCATCACACCCCTGAAAAGAAGTCATTTAATTTAGTTTAACAGCCACTTATCTCAAAAGTTTAGTTTAGAATGATCCAAGCTAAGAAGTTTGTGGCAAATTTAATTATGAATCCATATTCTTGACAACCCCACGAGTTCCATCCAAATATATAACACCTCAAACACGCTATTAAGAGATATTGTACTCTTTAGACTTTTCCTTTCGAGCTTCCACTCAAAGTTTTAAAACGCATTCATTAGGGAATGAAAGGTTTCCACATTCTTATAAAACAATGTTTCGTTCTACTCTCCAACCGACATGGGATCTCACAGTTCACCACCCTTGGAGACCCGGTGTCCGACTCTGATACCATTTTGTGACAGCCTAAGTCCATTGCTAGCAGATAGTTTGTTTTGTTTCGTTACGTACACAGTCAACCTCACAATTTTAAAACACTGTCAACTAGGGAGAAGTTTCTACACTTTTATAAGAAATGTTTCGTTTTTTTTTTTCCAACCGACTAAAAGTAAGTCAAAAAGAACAAATAAGTCAGAAAGGACAAAGAAGACTTAGTAAAATAACCTGAACAAAACAGTCATGAAAGTGAAGTCTAAGGATAGAAGCAGCACTACGAGCTTCTCTAGCAAAAGCCTTTGCCACAATGGATTTCACTATTGCCTTAGCATGGGGGCAGGAGTGGTCATAATATTGCGGGTACAGAGACCCAAACCCGCCATTTCTGCTAGAGAAACAGAGAGGAGCCAAGGCAAGAAGGGAAAAAACAACGACAAAACTCATAGGCTTGCCCATATTGAAACCTTTGTAAGACCAAAACTCAAACCTGGAATGTTGCTGTGAAAGGAGTTGAAATGGGCAGTGGGTATTTATAGAGGAGACTTTGTGGAATGGTCATGTCTGTTGAAAAGAGGGGACGCGCAAAATCATGGATTTGGTAGCTAACTTGCAGAGTTGTTGTAGCTTTTAAGTTTCTCTCCGGGCTCTGTAAAAGTCTTGTGCTTTATCAGCATGCTAACTATTAGTTTCTTTATATTTTCATTAGAGGATTACCTAAATTGGGAGTTGTCATAGACATGCAAAGACAATATTATAATCCATCAGTTAAAAGTTTTTTTCTTCGGTAATCAAACCATAAAGCTCTTGTGAGTTTGCACTGTTAGTTTGAGAGGGAAACAAAACATTTCTTATAAGAGTATGAAAAATTCTCTCTAGTAAACGCGTTTTAAGAATCGTGAGATTAACGGCGATACGTAACAGGCCAAAACTGACAGTATCTGCTAATGGTGAGCTTAGGCTGTTACCAATGGTATCAGAGTCATACACGATAATGTGCGAGCGAGAATGCTGGGCTCCCAAGAGAGATGAATTGTGAGATCCCACATTGGTTGAAGAGGTGAACGAGACATTAAGGATGTAGAAACCTCACTCTAGTAGATGAAGTTTAAAAACCGTGAGGTTGACAACGATAGGGTTAAAATGGATAATATCTACTAGCGGTGAGCTTGGGTTGTTAAAACTTTATTCTCGAGCCTCTGTCATTTCACTTCCTCCTCAATTCATATTAATTTCTTACCAACTTAAAAGTTCACAACTAAGAAAGAACACAAGATCAAATTTCACCTAGCTTCTCATCTTAGAGCATAAAATCATTGCAAAGCTCGTAACAATGAATATGTCCATGAAATTTACTGTCAAACTTAGCTGCAGGGTCGAATAAAAAAGCTGGGAATCTTTGAGTTAAATAATCAGTGGGGGAGTTTGTCAACAGAGCAGGTAAGTTAAAGATTGTTCTTCTTTTGACCCTTTTGTTTCCCTTTTGCACTTATTTTCTTCATCTCATAATTAATATTTGGGAGACCTTTTCTGGGGGACTTTCAGTCCTCTCTTTGTTTGCTTCTTAGTTTCTAGAAAGTAAAAGTAAAGGTTGAAAGTTCAAAAGGGTGAAGGCCAGCAAGGCATGGATTCCTTCCAAACCCCCTGCACCTATAAAATTATGAATCGTATACTAATTATCGTTCTGTAAACATCTAAAAAGAATTAAAGTGAACCAAAGTCCTTATTTGTTCTCTTTAATCTTGTCATCCAACCGAGCTTTGAGAAAGCATATTCTATCCTTAATTATGAATGGATGTAGACAATTAGGGTCAACATAACCAACCAGATAATAATATGAGACAAAAAAAGGGTGTGGGTAGCAGTTAGGACAACCACTTCCTTTGACCTTAATTTTTCATTTCCAAAGTATCCTAAACTGAAGTGAAATGATATGTCTAATCATCTAGAGCACGAATCATATTTGTCAAATGGTTCTATCGGATTAAAAGTTCTGTTCAGACATGGTTTATTATTAGTTTTAAAGAAAGTAATATACACAACTTCTTGCAATCTATATCGTAAAATGAATGCTCTAAATCTTAAAGCTCCAAGCCAGATGGGTATGAAGTAACGTTTCTAAGAACACATATTACGCCCGCCCTATGATATGGATAGAAATGTCTGACACGTTAATAGCTTCAAAAACTAAGCTTTACCTAGATCCCTTTTGGCCATCTTCCTTGATACAATGGCATGCAGCCAAATTTCTCTCATGAACTGTCCAAGAGCTAAAATCTGAAATGGAGAGACATTCATATTGAACCATAATTTTTCTCAGTCGGTGTCCATGTCCGTCGAGAAGATGAAGAGGATGGTGAACGATCCCAGGAGGCTTCACTGACGAACCCACTGTTGATGCCTTCAGCTCTCGGGTAGCTTTGTCCTGCACCACTCGCCTAATTTCATGGATACAAATTCAAACATGCCAAAACAAGTTAATGTTAAATCTGACAAGAAAATACGAACCTTGAAAAGGTACTGCAAGTACAAGCCAGTATCATTCCGAAAATTATTGGAGGTTACGTGAACTACGCTAAATCAACTATCGTCAAGAATTGAGAAAAAAAGAAACTGTCTCGGTAATAATGAATAAGAATTGCTACCAACGAACAGTACATGATGCTCAATGAAACTTTTTGGTTTCGTTGATTGCATTCAAAAGAAAGAAATCTGGTTACTTAACATCAAAAGGGGCTGTAAACTTACAGTTTCCAAGCAGGCGGATAGTAGTGCCATGCCCGGCAATGCATCAATTCCACGCTACATGCAGATGCAATTGACTCGACATAAATATCGAACAATAACAGTACATTTCATAGAAAAGAAATCTGACCGCAATGGCGTCAAACAATAGCTTACCTGGCCTTGCATTCGTGTCTTATAAACAAATCCTCCACAGCAAAATAGTGATGCTACGACTATGAATCTGCTCATCACAATTTTTTCAGGCATCAAAACCAAAAGAATTATTTTGACCAGGTTATTGAGAAGTTAATCTTAAGTCGTCGATCAATAGAGAAAGATATTGCAGCTGAGGAGGCCACTTCAATGAAGACACCACAAATCACCATCATCTAGATGATAGTAATATTTTCTAAGCCACCCAAAGCATGCAGAGGGGGACCTGGGGCCCACTTACTATGAAATATATATGTAGACTTCACAGCATCCAAACTGTTTTAACACCTAAAGATCTAGGTACTTCACAGACAGATGATACTGAATACTCGGGGTTACCAAAAAGATTAAGAAGAAAAACTTGACATACATGCAAGAGAGTATTCCAAATGTGGCCCATCCTTTCATAGAATCTCCTTGTACGTCCTGCCTTTTTTCTGCAAAATGTGAAACACAAAGCTAAACTTAGGTTACT